CACCCCTGTTAGAGTGCAGTGGCGTCATCATAGCTCACAGCAACCTCAAACTCCTGGGTTCAAGTGATCCTCCTGCCTCAGCCTCCCAAGTACCCAGGACTACAGGCTTGACACCATGCCTGGCTCATTTTTTTGTTTTTAGTAGAGACGGGGTCTCGAACTCCTGAACTCAAGCGATCCTCCCACCTCGGCCTCCCAAAGTGCTAGGATTACAGGCATGAGCCACCATGCCCGGCCAGATATCAGATTTCTTTTTGGGGTGATGGAAATGTTCTAACATTAGTGTGGTGATAGTTGCATAACCTTGTGCATATACTAAAAACCATTGAATTGTACACTTTAAAAATGGGGAAATTGTAAGGTATGTGAATTGTATCTCAATAAAGCTGTTTTTAAAAAATCAGTTCTGAGGAAACAGTTACATATGAAGAAGAGAGAATTCTGTGAATTGAAATCCTGTCTTCCTTCGCAGCACTGCCAGTGAGTGGTTCGAGGTCACCCCCAAGTCCGTAGGGGTGAACTGTACACAGATCACAGCGACAGAGTGCGACTTCACCGCGCCTGGCCTCTCCAAGGGCTTCCCGATGGATTTCAATATCACTCTGAGACTTCGAGCTGAGTTGGGAGAACTCCATTCTGCCTGGGTGACAATGCCTTGGTTTCAACACTATTTGAACGGTAAGAAAACTGGAGTATAAAACTGCCTTTATACTTTCCCGGCTTTCTTCACTTGCCTCTTCAATGAATACGCAGTGACCTTGGAGGCTGATGCTAGGAGAGTGTGACTTGCTAAACCAGGGGTCAGCAAACTACAGCCTGCAGGCCAAATCTGGCCCACCACCTGTTTTTGTAAATAAAGTTTTATTGGAACCTGGTTATGCTCGCCTTTTAACGTGCCTGTGGCTGCTTTCATGCTGCAACAGTGGAGTCGAGTAGTTGCAACAGGGACTGTTGGGGTCTGCAAACCTGAATTTACTCTGGCCCTTTACTGAGAAAGTTTGCCGACCTCTGTACTAGACGGATGCTAGCAGATTGGCCTCACTGATCACCTTTACCTGTTCTGGTGCAACTTCTTTTATGTTGAAGAAAGACTTTCATTCTACCTCGAACAGTGTCTGGCATGTGGCAGGTATTCACTAAGTATTTGTTGAGTGATTGAATGAACAAACATGTCCCCAGATATTGGAAGGAGGTAGAAGGACCTCAGATACTAGTTCCTACATTTGTTCCTTCAGTGATTCATTTGTCACGTGTCAGCTGTGCCAGTTGTTTCTTTATTGTCTGTGGTTCATGCACCCAGAACTTATTTGGTTCCTGATTCAAACAAACTAAAGACAATTGAGGAAATGTGATCACTGTATAGATACATGATGAAATAGTGAGCAATTGTTAGTTCATTTTATGTGTTATAATGGCATTTTGGTGAAGTTTTTAAAAGGGAGGGGTGGTCCTGGTTAAGACAGTATATTTTATATTATGTATTTTTTACCACAATAAAAAGAAATTGGGGAAAAAAGAGGGAACCTGTCTTTTAAAAGTACGTACTAGGCCGGGCACAGTGGCTCACGCCTGTAATCCTAGCACTCTGGGA